TTTGTGAGAGTGAGTATGTGGGATGGGCATGGAAGAGGAAGATTCAGAAGAGGAAATAGACCACCATTTGTTAATTTGATAAAAAAAAAAGTGAATATTGCATTTCCGAAGCAGCCAAATACATTATGTAGATGTGTCTGGGACCGCATCAAGAGTTACACTTTGTAAATGTCGCTAAACTTCGAGAAATTGAGGAAATTTGTGAAAGTCAGTGAAAAAAGTGTTCGTATGATATAAATGAGAGAAAAATGCACTGAGATTCACGCTGGAGAGATCAGTCACTAACAACTGCAATATCAGTTTCCCCTTCAGGTCTTCCCTGGTGGCTAAAGCTCCCGCTTCACACACGGAGGGCCCGGGTTCGATTCCCGGCGGGTGGAAACATTTCGACACGTTTTCTTACACCTGTTGTCCTGTTCACCTAGCAGCAAATAGGTACCTGGGTGTTAGTCGACTGGTGTGGGTCGCATCCTGGGGGACAAGATTAAGGACCCCAATGGAAATAAGTTAGACAGTCCTCGATGACGCACTGACTTTCTTGGGTTATCCTGGGTGGCTAACCCTCCGGGGTTAAAAATCCGAACGAAATCTTATCTTATCTTATCTTATGGCTACAACGTACAGTTGAGCCCTGCTTTACAGCGCTTCGCTATATGGAGTTTTGCTAATGCAGCAGTTTTCAATTATATCCATTATTCATTTATTCAGACTTCCTACAATAAATATGTTCATTACTCACTATAAGTTAAAGACGAAAATATTTTAAGGTAAGTAATGTGTGTACTGTATACGCATTTCTTAGGCCTAGCTCTATTGCTCACTTAATATATGATAGTGTAAACATGTTAACAGGCTTTTACATGCATTTCAAAGTGATAAAAAAGGTTATGTTTAAGTTTACAGCGATTTTAGCCTTACAGCAGTAGCCTGGAACCTAACCTGCTGTAAAAGCGGGACCCTCCAGTACGGGACCTCCAGCCACGACCCAAGCCAAGCGTGTTATGAAAAAGCAAAATGAAGAACACGCTTTTGATAGGATATTGTTAAAGTCGTACCCAGAGAGAAGTGTTGTGTCAGAATAAGCCTCTTTTGTAAACTGCCTTCATATTCCATCATAAACAACCATTCAATAGATAGAAGAGGGCTTTCGTGACGATCTGTTTCTTATTGATATCACGAATGGATCAAAGCTGACAGAACAAAGCAAGAATATTCAACCTTATGGAAATGAGCGAGAGAGACGTACCCAAGAGAGTAGTTGGAACAAATGACATTACGTGCATGGAATACTTTTATTAACGACAATGTTTCGCGGACGCAGGGGCTTGATGAAGACCCTACGTGGACGAAACGATGTAGTTAATAACGGTATCCACTGCATCTAAGTGTTATTTACATATCATTACAAGAGCAGCTGATGGAGGATCAACAATACGATGTGTCTGTGAGGACTAAACAGACTGACACTGGCAGACTACACCAGCTAAGTTATCAGACAGTGTTGTCTTCACTAGTGAGTCTAGTACTGGTGTTGTCTTCACTAGTGAGTCTAGTACTGGTGTTGTCTTCACTAGTGAGTCTAGTACTGGTGTTGTCTTCACTAGTGAGTCTAGTACTGGTGTTGTCTTCACTAGTGAGTCTAGTACTGGTGTTGTCTTCACTAGTGAGTCTAGTACTGGTGTTGTCTTCACTGGTGAGTCTAGTACTGGTGTTGTCTTCACTAGTGAGTCTAGTACTGGTGTTGTCTTCACTGGTGAGTCTAGTACTGGTGTTGTCTTCACTAGTGAGTCTAGTACTGGTGTTGTCTTCACTAGTGAGTCTAGTACTGGTGTTGTCTTCACTAGTGAGTCTAGTACTGGTGTTGTCTTCACTAGTGAGTCTAGTACTGGTGTTGTCTTCACTAGTGAGTCTAGTACTGGTGTTGTCTTCACTGGTGAGTCTAGTACTGGTGTTGTCTTCACTGGTGAGTCTAGTACTGGTGTTGTCTTCACTGGTGAGTCTAGTACTGGTGTTGCCTTCACTAGTGAGTCTAGTACTGGTGTTGTCTTCACTAGTGAGTCTAGTACTGGTGTTGTCTTCACTAGTGAGTCTAGTACTGGTGTTGTCTTCATTAGTGAGTCTAGTACTGGTGTTGTCTTCACTAGTGAGTCTAGTACTGGTGTTGTCTTCACTGGTGAGTCTAGTACTGGTGTTGTCTTCACTAGTGAGTCTAGTACTGGTGTTGTCTTCACTGGTGAGTCTAGTATTGGTGTTGTCTTCACTAGTGAGTCTAGTACTGGTGTTGTCTTCACTAGTGAGTCTAGTACTGGTGTTGTCTTCACTGGTGAGTCTAGTACTGGTGTTGTCTTCACTAGTGAGTCTAGTACTGGTGTTGTCTTCACTAGTGAGTCTAGTACTGGTGTTGTCTTCACTAGTGAGTCTAGTACTGGTGTTGTCTTCACTAGTGAGTCTAGTACTGGTGTTGTCTTCACTAGTGAGTCTAGTACTGGTGTTATCTTCA